TACAACACGGCCGGGCTGTGCCCTGTTCAGCAGATTGTAAACGGAGAAATGCATTTCTGATTTGATCTTCCGGCCGATCTGGAATTTATAAGCGTAATCAATGTCAATACGGTTGGCTGCAGATAACCGCGACCCGTTATGCGCACCATAAACCGGCAAAACATCAATAGAGGTAAATGATGGAGATGGCGCAATGTACTGGCTGATCTGCGGCGTAAAAGGACTGCCGGATGAATACACCCAGTTAAAGGAAACAGCGTGGCGCCTGGAGATATCATACGCACCCACTACCGAAAAATCGTGTCGGCGGTCGAACCTTGCATAATACTCACGGCCTTCATTTAGCGCATCAAATTTCCTCAACGCATAAGAGAGCGAATAACCTACCCAGCCGCTGAAACGCCCGGATGTTTTGGTGGCAAAAAATTCCACTCCATACGACCTTCCTTTGCCGGTAACCAATTCCTGTTCATAGTTATCATTCAATAGCAGTACGGCACCTTCGCGGTATTCGATCTGATTTTGCATCATCTTATAGTATCCTTCCACACTCAGCGATACATTGAATTTCGGGATGGTATAGTAGTAGCCGGCACTTACCTGGTCGGATATGCCTGGCTTTATATTGTTGGTCACGGGGTACCACAGATCGGTAGGTAATGCTACTGATGAGCTGGCAACAAGGTGCATGTATTGGCCCATCCGTGCATAAGATGCTTTAATGGAGTTGCGCTCGTTGATAAGATAACGGACGGCCAGCCGCGGCTCGGGATTGCTGTATATTTTACCACTTTTCAGTAGGGTGCCACTGTAGCGTAGCCCATAATTCAGCTGCCATTTTTCGGACACTTTCCAGTCGTCATTTGCATAAAGGGCAAATTCATAGTTCTGAATCCTTGCTCCCGGCTTGGATTTAAGTGCTTCGGAAACCATACCCGATGTGTTGACGATATTGGGCCGGAAGGCATGATTGGTTACTGCCCCGCCAAAATGCATATTATGCTGGTTGTTGGCTTTAAAACTAAAGTCTGCCTTGGCGCCGATGTCCCGGATAGCCGATGCGATCAGCAGGCTGTTATTGTCGAACTCTCCTGTTACATTATACCTGAACTTAGTGTAGATCAGGCTCAGGTTGGAGAAGAGACGGGGATCTTTGAAAATATGATTCCACCTCAGAGAAGCCGCGCTGTTACCCAGGTTAAGCGCACTCTTCATGTCGAGGTCGCTACTTTTTCGGGTGGATAGTACATCATCTCCCTTATAGCCGCTCAGGTAGATACGGTTCTGATCGTTGATGATGTAGTTAGCCTTGCCATTCAGGTCATAGAAATGGTAAGGGATATTATTGCCGCTTACCACATCCAGATAAGTACGCCGCCCGCTAACGATAAAAGAAGCTTTGTTTTTCAGGAGGGGACCTTCGAGCGTGAGGTTGCTGGAGATCAATCCCAGACTGCCTTCTGCATGATATTCCTGCTTATTACCTTCCTTCATTCTTACATCCAGAATGCTGGACAGGCGGCCACCATATTGGGAAGGGAAACCGGATTTGTAAAGCTGTACATCTTTTAAGGCAGCTGCATTGAATACCGAAAAGAAACCCAGCAGGTGACCAGCGTTATAGATGGTGGCCTCATCCAGCAGGATCAGGTTCTCATCTACATTCCCGCCACGAACATACATGCCAATGGTGCCTTCACCGCCCCGCTTCACGCCAGGGGTAAGCTGTAGTGCTTTGATAATATCCACTTCACCGGCTATGGCGGGGTACTTTTTTTAAGCAAGGCGATCGGAAGGTCTACCATG